GAGGCAGGGAGCCTCGGAGGCGACAAGTTTCCAGGACTAGGCCTAGGTTAGCAGACAGAGGCAGGGAGCCTCGGAGGCGACAAGTTTCCAGGACTAGGCCTAGGTTAGCAGACAGAGGCAGGGAGCCTCGGAGGCGACAAGTTTCCAGGACTAGGCCTAGGTTAGCAGACAGAGGCAGGAAGCCTCGGAGGCGACAAGTTTCCAGGACTAGGCCTAGGTTAGCAGACAGAGGCAGGAAGCCTCGGAGGCGACAAGTTTCCAGTGGCTATATGCCTAAGTCTTAAGAAAATGAATTCTTTTCATCCCAGCACTCTGTGAGGCAGAGGCAGGCAGTCAGGCCAGCCTGGTCCACAAAGCCAGTCCTGGACAGTCAAGGCTACACAGAGAAATCCTGTCTTGGACACAACAAAACAAACACTAAAAAAACAGTGAACAACAACAACAACAACAAAATGATTTTCATGGCCAACCACCTGCAAATACTACATATCTTCCAAATAAGATGAAATCTTTTAAATTTGATGAATGTAGCAGAAAATAAAGCCCATATTTCTGAACAGCACAAATCCATCCACATGTGAAAAACAAGGAGAACAAGCCAGACTGTCTTGTGATCAAGTATTTATAGTAAGGCTATTTATAATGCTCACCAGAGGGGAGTGGAGATCCAGACCCACCTGCAGCGTGGAAACTTCGGAGCAGTCCTAGAGGATATTTAAAAAGGAAAAAAAAAAAAAAGGTAAAACTTCATCTTTGGGAGTCTAGTCTATATTAAAGCAATAATGTGCTTTTGCCTAATGCACTGGCTGTTTTTAACTATTACTGTTCTTGTTCTTTGTGGTGTATTTATTCCCACAGCATGCTCACGGTTAGTGTTTACTAGGCAAAATAGTATTCTTAGCACGACACTCACTGTGAACAGAAAAGGTAATCTTTTGGACGCTATAATCATTGAGAAAAACTCACCATCCGTGACTAAAATAAATCAATAATAAACACTTTCAAAACTGTAAAATGACCTGGACTTTTTAAAAAGCCCTTTAAAGTTTCATTTGATTGTTTATTTACAAATAGATTGGGGCGTTGTTTATTATTTTAAATTTTCTTTGCCTTAAGTTCCGTAGGGTACAAATGGATTTTCCTATGGCATTCTCCTTCATTCTGTCATACCCAGTCTTCCTCGTTCCAGTAGTGCCCCCGCTTCTCTCGCTGAGCCTCTTCCTCCCCGTGCAGTCCCCCTTCGTGCCATGTGCATTCCGTCACTCCTTTCAGCCCTCCTCCCTCCCTAAGACCATCTCCTCTCTGGCCCCCTTTCTACCTTCATGTAGCATGTGTGTGATGTGCAAAGGTTGGTGTGGGGTGTGCATTCCTCTATGGTTCTCCATATGATATGCTTGTATATTCCCCCATCACGTCCTCCTCCCAGCTTCATGACCTTTTTATAATTCACTAAGTCCAGTTAGTGCTGCCCGTGTGTGTGTGTGTGTGTGTGTGTGTGTGTGTGCACGTGCACGCGTGCATGCTGTGGGTGAGGCTCTCCACTGGAGCATGGGAATCCTTTAAAAAACACATTTTCACTCCCCTAGAAAATGTCAGCTGGCTATCGTTCTGCAGTGAGGGATGGGGCTGAGGATTCATCTGTTCCATCTGTGCCAGAATTTGATCTTGTTCCGGTTTCTTGCAGGTTACTCTAGCGGCTGTGAATTCCTGAGGGTGGGCACTAGAAAAGCTTGCCAGTTGTAAAAGGAACTTTTATTTGCCTGCTTCATTTGTTGTCTTGGAGGCTTACTGCCTTTGTCTGCTAACCTAGGCCTAGTCCTGGAAGCTTCTAGCCTCCTTACAGTCTAACCTAGGCCTAGAATATTTTCAGCCTCTGAGACTTACTTCTTAATAAGCTCACCCTTTCTTGTTCTTCTTGAGCGCTGGGCTGGCTCGATCACTTCAGCTAACCCTGTCCCCTTGGTGCTAGGGTTAGAAATGGATGCTGTGATGCAACTTTAGGTCCTCATATTTGTGCACCAACTGAGTCATCTCCTCAGCTCCACAGAGCAGTGTTAATTTGCATTTCCCTAATGGCCCAGGGAGTCAGTGTTGAATATGGCCTCAGATAATAAGCGGCCATTTTCCTTGGGTTTGTCTTTTGTGTAAAACGTTCAAGAATGTAAACAAGTATTTCGGTATCCATCCACCACGATCCCTCCTGTACTTCCCCCTCTGTCTCCCTTCCCAGTTTCATGGTCTCTAGTTTATGGCTATCAAAAACCACCTGACTGGTGCTGCCCACATGGGTACATGGCTGTGGGGCTGTCCCGCATGAGCGACCCACCAGAAGCAGCATCCCTCCCTAAAAGAAAGTGCCTTTCTCTCCCCCAGCAGCCATCAACGTCAAGAGATCTTCAGGTGGATGCAGGGCCGCACAGGGTCTCTCCTATACCATGTGGCATTTAGACTGGCTTCATTTTGTATCATCGGCCTTGTGCTAGAATTAGAC